AGTTTGCACTTTTTGTTTTGTGTTTGTTTGCCATATGGTTTTACCCGATACATAATGTTCTTGAAAATTGAAGACAGTGGATGAAAATTTGAGGATCTATTGGATTAGCATGAGCTTAACTTGTTTTTGAAGTTCTAATGCATACTGAATCTGCGTCATCTATGTTTAAGATTCCTCTCACTATGCTGTTCCACGTGCACTTAACTTTATTTCTGCAATGTAAAAAATTAACCGGATGGCCATTTGTTACAATGCCAGACCTCCTGTCTTCGTTGAAGGGGTTAGAAGTAATCGTCCAAAGTCTTTAATTGCACCTAGGGAGACGCCATGGAACCTTCGCTGCTTTTCAATCAGCTCCGAGTTTGAACCTCTCCCTTTTTTTCTTTTTGTATTTTTCTCATTTTAATTCTTTGACTTGTTGTTTTGACATCATCACCTACTAATCTGTTTGCACCTTACACGATGATTGTATTAATTTGGGCAGGCTGCAGAACCATTTTTCCTATTGGCGGGTCCAAATGTGATTGAATCAGAGGAGCATATATTTAAGATGGCCAAGTACATCAAGAATATATCATCAAAGTATGTATCTAGGTTCTTTAGGTCTTCGGTCTTTTATTCCAAATTACTGAATAAGGTTATGGAAAACAGTGCATTTATTTCTCTTTATATGAAATTAAGTGATGAAAAAAACATTAGATTTCTCGTAGTTTAATGTAGAAGGTAAGTTTATGGAGCCAATTATTTCATGGCATCACGGATTTGTAGGTGACCAAGGATTCACATGGCAGTCATAATTTGGCTTTTGTATTTCTTTCTATTTTTAAAATATTTTATATCTTATCTTGAATCTTGCAGGTTCGGTTTGCCACTGGTTTTCAAGTCAAGCTTTGATAAAGCTAACCGTACATCTGCAAAATCCTTTCGTGGTCCAGGCATGGTTGAAGGCTTGAAGGTTCGTAATGATTTACTTGTTTGATGTTGGAATTGTGGAGATGCACATTTCTCCACATGCATATGTCCATTTGTGAACTGCATGGGCGTGCATAGGCATAGCTACACCTTTCAAGAACACAATATGTAGTATGATGATCATTTTTATGCAACTATTCTTAATTTCTCCATGACTTTTATGTAACTAAAATATAACCTCATGTAGAATAGGATCAAATGAAGTTTGGTACACTTGGAAATTAGATAACAAGGCATGGTAATTTTAATTCATATTTAGCTGATTGGCCATTGAAAGATTTCAAGTGATTGTTGATTTTGAAAAGTTGTCACTTTTTGTGCATCAGATCAATATTGCCTGTTCTAAACATTGCACCAAATGGAGGCTCCACAGGTCTTTCCAACAAGCATTGGTTGCTATTTCTTATTGATCACATTTTCTCCTCTGTTTTAGGACCTATTGATTCAAAAGTTTTTTCGATTAAATTATAATGGGAGTAAAGGGGAGTACTTAAAATTAATGATACTAATTCAGATACATATTTGTTAGTGTTCTGAAAAATATTTCTGATATCTTTTATATGGTCTCAAAGTAACATCCTGTACTTGTGTGTTCATTGTATTGCTAATTCTTATGGATCCAAATTTTGTGCAACTTGTAAAGACAATTTGGTGTATTCACAAAATCTTTTGTTTTCTCCATTGATGCAGATACTTGAAAAGGTTAAATTAGCATATGATATACCCATAGTGACTGATGTGCATGAAACCATACAGGTAATACTTTTATTTTCTTTACCACAAAAAACACACACACACTGGCTTGTGCGTTCATTCGTTTGAAGTCTGAAAAAGGTTTTGTTTGATTCAACCATGTTTGGAACAATCTAAGGTCTCCAATTCTTACGTAATTTTTTGATCCATGTCCCATGAAGTTATTGCCATTTTTGCAAGTAGAAATTGAACTTCTATTGCAGTGAGAACTAAGAATTAATGGATGAGAAAAACTTTAAACATATCATATTTTACAGTGTGAACCAGTTGGCAAAGTTGCAGATATTATTCAGATCCCTGCATTTTTATGTCGACAGGTACTTTAATATTTGTTGATGTGCATAATGTGTCCATGGGTTAGGATTAATAGAAGTTAAAGTCTTAATACTCATCTCATATTTTATCTTATAACATAACAGACTGATCTTCTAGTTGCAGCAGCCAAGACCGGGAGAATTATAAATATTAAGAAAGGCCAGTTCTGTGCTCCCTCTGTGAGTGAATTCTGATAATTTGAAAAATTAGAATGTTTTCTTGGTTCTTCATTTTTTTTATATGTCTATTTGTTCTGCCTTGTAGTAGCATTTTTATTTTCCAAATATCCATTTTTTCAGGTAATGACAAATTCTGCTGAAAAGATCAGAATGGCTGGAAATTCTAATGTGATGGTTTGTGAGAGAGGAACTATGTTTGGATACAGTAAGTTAATGGATTTGCTCTCTGAAGTTTCTGTTTAACATTTCTTTTTTAAAAAGTTATTAAATAAGAATAGAGATGTATTATAAAAAAAAGGACAACATTGTTTATTATGGTTTGGTTGAAAAGAAGCTTGCATTAGCATCAAGTTCTTGTTTTCTATACTTTTTTAATTTGTACCAAACACGAGATTGATTAACTCTGATTCATTTGAAGAACCCTTTTTTTCTCTCCTTTCAGAAACCAACTTAAGATTATAATTATGAGCTTTTATCAAACATGAAAATTGTCTTAAATTTTATCAATTAAGAAAATTTTATGCGGTCATGGCTTTAGTGGAAAAGCAAAGACTCTTGGATCAACATTGTTAAATCTACTATTTGGACAATATGGTACTGAAGGAACACTAGGATCTGTGATAACCAAAACTCTCCTTAGGAAGTTAACTTATAAAGCTTATGCAGCCTCTTGATGTGGTCTTTCCAAAGTTTTTAAACTTTCCGATCAATGAAATTATTTATGATTGAAATGTTTTTCTCTTAAGTAGGGTGTAACGCTTTGTTTTTGTAACAATTATATATTGTGCTGCTTATTATAACATGTATGGTTTCTATTAGGGTATTGCCTTTTTAGGTTATTTATAGGAATCTGGCGTCTTGTAACTTTTTAAATATCAATTAAAAGTTATTCACGTCTGAGTTGTAGGCTTATAATAATCATCGTCTAGGGCATGAAGTTTGTCTTTTAATCACTTTTTATGCACCAACCCTATGTGTAACAGAAGATAACTATATCTGACTTCTGACACAAGTGATTTGTTTCCTCCAGTCATTTATTGAGTGACAGTTTAGGTTGGGGTTCCTCAGTTTTGACCTATTTCACACTGTTGAATTCCTTTTTTTGATGAAAAGTAGAGCTTTTATCGAGAAAAATGAGAGAATAAAAAGGGGCATGCAAAAAAATCAATCCACAAAAGGGAGCCAAACTAAAAGAATGGGCTCCAATCAAACAAAATCAAACCTAGGGAGTAATTRCACAACTCTTTAGACACCGAGGTCCAAATGGAAACATCGAACCTAACAAGGTCCCACAGCTCCTCCCTCGATCTCTCTACCCCTCTAAAATCATATTGTTCCTTTCAATCCACAAACCCCAAGGAACAACAAATATACTCGCTTGCCACAAAAAACGACCCTTATTTCGGGGGGGGGGGTAATAAAGAGCCTCCTCAAGCATCGAGCGACAATCTCTGGCATGAGCTAGATGTACCGTAAAAGTCTGAAGCAGATTATTCCGCATTGAAGAAGCAAAGTGGCAAGACCATATGAGGTGATCTTGGTCCTCAACAACTCCTTTACGAAGAATACAACACTGAGGCTCATAAAGAAGAGAGGAATGCCTTGTAATGCGATCCAAAGTATTAACCTTGCCATGTAGGACCTTCCAAACAAAAAATCTTCTTTGGGATCATAATCTTCCAAAGCATTGAAAAGATGGAGAGGCGGGAAGGATTGGGGTTTGCAAAACACGCAAAGATAGATTTGCAAGAAAATCCCTCCACCAAATTGGGGGACAAAAAACGAGAATCCTTCCTCCATGGAAAAGTCACAAAGTCACCTAATATGGCCAACAAGGCCACAAAATCCGTAGTTACCCTATCGGACAACGGACAACGAAAAACAAGAGCCAAAGAGGACACTAGATCTGGCAAATGGGGTAAAACAGAAGCTGCTGATTGACCCTTTATAGAAGAAAGGTGGTAAAGGTGAGGGAACAGAGAACATAAATGGCAATCCCATAACCACCTATTGTCCCTAAAAAAAGTATCGATCCCATCTCCAACCTGACAAGACTCAAATTGAGAAAAAATAGGGGAAACCTGACGAAATCGCTATCCATGGATTCTGAAAGTGCCTTTTAAACCCCCATTATACAACCAGTCATAGGGAAGAATACCATGCTTGCTATCACCCTAGGCTACAGAGAATCTGACTCTCGCAGGAAGCATCATAAACATTTTTCGGGGCATTGTTACACATTTTCAAATTACCAATACCTAAACCCGTGTAATTCAAAGACTTACAAACCATCTCCAAACTTATTAAATGAGATCCCTTCCCCTCATCAACCCGTTGCCATTGAAAGTTACACATCAACTTCTCTAGGGATTTAGAAATGGACACTGGAATTCTGAACAAAGAAAGATAGTTAATTGGGATCACACTTAACACGGACTGATCAAGAAGGAAATCCCAAAGGAACTCGAATTTTTGGTGCGATTGCACAAGAATTGAGACTGTTAAATTTCACTAAAATAATTTTATTAGCACCTGAAGTATTATAAGATAAGACCGTGAGATAGTTATAGTATTTGAATGAAATTAATTAGTAGATTGTGTATCACGCATATACCATTAAAAATTCAAAGGGTTAATCTCCCTCCCTTAGAAAAGAAGCACTTTTTCCACGAAGAAAGACATTTTGCACCTTTTCCACCACAGGTGCCGATGTTCTCAACCCTCCACAAGTGGCTTAGGCAACCCTTGTAAGAACAAGTACCTCCTAAACACACACACCACCTAGCACGCACACAAAGAATCACTCAAGGGGAAGAAGAAGGGAATTACCTTGAAGGTCAATGCTTTGGATAGAGAGGACTTGTTCTAGATCTAAAGCAAAACACTCCACAAGTTTGATGACCAACCTAAACTTGCATGTTTCAAAGGGGTTTTGTGCAACTAGATCAAGATGCACCAATGCTCACGGTTTTAGGAGCAAAGAGGAAAGCTCAAGGCTATTTTCATTCATCAATCATCCAACCTATCAAATGTACAAAAAGAAGCCTATAAATAGTCAACTTGATTTTCCCTAAAATAAAAGGAAAAAGACTTTAACCAAACCTAGACTAAACTAGTTACAAAGGGGCATAGCTAAGTTACACAAATTGAGGGGTTCTCTAAATAGGCCTTTAAAGTGCATAAAACCCCGTTCTTGGGCCTAAGACCTATTAAATAAATTATACATGAAGTCAAGAAGGAGATTACAAAACTAATTACATAAAAACACTACTTTAAGACTCAAACCCTAAATAACCCCTAATATTGGAGATCTCATGTTTGGTGTCTTCATGTTTCCTTGAAGTTCCTCTTTCCACTTGTTCTCCACCTTTATGAAGCTTGATAGTTCTCATCATGTTGAAGTGGAAATCCCTTCTTCATTGGTTGGCCCTAATGCCATGATGCTTATGCCACGATGTGTATTGCTTGAAGCATATCAGGCACATCAGGCACGCAGATAGCCAAAGATCTATTACTTTGCCCAAGGGAAAGACCTAAATAAGATGAAGGAAGAGAACCAACCTCACAATCCACCAACGATGCTCACCTCTCCAACTTCCCACTATCACAATTAACCCCTTGGATGGAACACTTGCTTCGATTTATCTTCAGGCTTGAGATCATCTCAAAGAAGGACAAAAGGCGATTGAGATTAACAAAAGACTCTTTTTTACCGGAGCGAAAGAAGATTGTGTCGTCAGCAAATTGGAGGTGGGACAGACTCAACCTATCTTTCCCCACATGGAAACTTTCCAAAGAGCCCCTCCCAATCCCTTTTGAAACAACTCTGCTGATACAATCCACCACCAATAGGAAACGAAAGGGAGAAAGTAGATTACCTTGCAGTAACCCCCTTGAAGCAAGGATCCTACCTCTTAGCTATAATGAGAATTTAACTGTTCTAACACAACTCCTCATCCAAGATCTTCATTTGTACCTTTCTTAGAAAGCACATTGTCCAAAAAACCCCAGTTCATATGGTCGTAAGCTTTCTCAAAATTGATATGTAAAACACTCCTCAATTGTCTCTCTATTGAGTTCTTTAGTGTATTACATTTTTTTCGTCCCATTTAATTCATGTTATGATATTGATATGTATGGTTTGGTTTGTAGATGACTTAATTGTTGATCCTCGGAACTTAGAGTGGATAAGAGAGGCAAACTGCCCTGTTGTAAGTCATTTGATCTTGTAACTTTGCTTCTCTATATTGTGTTTTTTATTTTTGGAAAAAAAATATAACTGTACATATTCAATACTTTGTTCTTAAGAGTACATTAAGACACATTCTTTTTTGGGACAAAAAGACATCTCCATTTTTTAAAGAAAGTTGTATTTCAATTTCTGTTTATTATGTATCAAATTTGGGGTTGGGGGAAGGTTGGATTGATGTGAATTATTTGTATCTTGATCATTGACCCTTTTTCCTCCATTTGAATCTCATAATTTATGTTACTAGTTACTACATAGTTCGTACATAATCCGTTTGTGTCTTATTATTACATGAGGTAATGATGTGCTTTATTTCAATTTGGCCCGAAGTTTTATGATAAATGTTTTCACTTCAGGTTGCCGACATTACACATTCATTGCAACAACCTGCTGGGAGACAGGTATGAATAATATTGCATTCATGTTTTATGAATTGGACTATTTTATGTGATCTCTGTATATAGCAAGCGAAAGACTGAATCAAGTCTTCCTTTCCCAGAAAAAGGCTATGGAAATGGCTTAGCCAACTTTAGCAAAGCCAGCACCTCCTAAACATGTTCACCCAAATGGCCTCTCTCACACACAAATTAATACCCAAGAGGAGGCAAGGCTAAGGTTATCTTGGTGTTAAAGACCATGGAAATGGATAACAATCCCCATACCTGAGGTTGAAGCTCAAATCATTTTGTAAGTTTGGTGACCAACCTTAACTTGAATGATTCTAGGGTTTAACGTGCAAACTACACTAAGCTCACGCACATGAGGATGGCACTCGATGGAGTATAAAATCTCTCAACTCAACATTCATTCATCTAAGTTTTCAAGAAGACATTTCTAAGCTTATATAATTCTAGGTATTTGGCCAAAGGGGTGTAAAAAGGAAAGCTTAATTGCTAAACCTAATTGAGCCTAAGTTCAATCACAAGTAAATAAAATATTTAAAGAAACTTAAAGGAAGATTGGGCTAAAGCATAGGAGACTTGGGCTGATGCCCTTACAACTCTAATAAAAGTCCAAAATCAACAAAGTTCCAAAAAGTAGAAAAATGAAAAAAGAAAGACTAGTCTATGGATCCATTGAGCTTAATTGGCCTTCTTGGCTTGTTTGGTGACTTGGCCCTCTTGGTCCATATATCCCCTCCAAGCTTCTAATGATTCATCCTCAAATGTTTTGACCTACATGGAAAAAATATTTTACATTTGTAAACTTCAAGGATGGGTTAATATATAACTTACCTTGTAGTGTGCTCTTGTAGTCATGGGAGGTCAAAGTTTGAGTTCTTGGAGGAGCTATCTTACGGAGCACTTGCAAACGTGCTTTCTTCTCTCCAAAAGTGTCTCAGCCACATGCATCTAGCTTCGTATGGAAGATTTTAAGCTCATACAAAAGTGCCAAACAAAGGCTAGGCGAACATGGTTCAAGTTTGCTAGTTAGAAAATACTTTTTGGGTTTAACAAGTCAAGAATGTGGTGTTTGGAGAGTGTAATAGAATTGGCCTTAAAACACGTAACTATGAGCTCTTCTTTTTTCATCACTACGCCAAACAAGAACATTATGCATGCTATGATTGTGCAATTAAAACTCTAAGCTCTCAGCACTCGGTGCATTTGATGCAAGCATACATGCACCAACGGTTGTTCCTTCATGACTTAGAATTATAGGCTATTGAACCCACCTTTTCCAAAATTTGGTAGGGGCTGAAGAATATGGCTGATAGTTTTTCATTGCGACGCTTGGTGCGGGATGTTTGGTGGTATTGCCAAATCTTCAAATAGACCCAATCATACACTGAGAACTTGGTTAATCCATGCTGTCCATGTACAACTCGTCTTTTAGTATTGTGCTTGATCAAGCCTGTCTTGTTAATCCATTTAATAATGTATTACTCAACTCTCCATGCTTTTTCCTCATCACCCTTTCTTTCTGGCGTTGTTATAAAATTTACCAGGATCCTCTTCATTTTAGTTCTAAATTTTGTTACTCAATATCCCCATATAATCTTTTTAAGTGGATCTTTATATTCGGAAGGTGAAATATATGTGTTTTGTCTCTTTGAAGTTGGGTGATGGGGGTGTTGCTAGTGGTGGCCTACGTGAATTAATACCATGCATTGCGAGGACAGCAGTGGCCGTCGGAGTAGATGGGATATTCATGGAGGTATTCAGATTTTTTTTGATATTGTTAGTTTCATATCAGCACCTCTGCTCTGGCACAAGTTACTGAAATGATTTTAGTTGGAAAGAACTTTTTAGAGCATAATCCCTATTGTTCAACTAGGTTATGCATGTTATCATTATTATTGTTTACATCATATTTTACTCTCGTGTTTTTTCTATTTTAGTCTTTTAAACTTTCAAATTTTGGTTTTAGTTCTAGAACTTTATGTAAGAAACTAATTTTTTTCTTTGCCAATAATTTTTTTATAAATTATTTATTAGAAACCTTAACTAATCACATCTCTTGTTCATTTATGTGATCAACAAATGTCGATGTGAATAAGTGTTTGAATCCATAGTGGCTTAAGTTTTGGGTTTACAAATGTATTTAGATTCTTGTTAAATGATTAATAAATAATTATAATTAAAGGACAATTAGTTTTCAAAGTAAAATTTACAAATTAAAACACAACATGAGAGGCGCAATATATTTGAAAGTTTGGAGACCAAAATGAAATAGATATGAATTTGTTTTTTGAGTTTAACATATATGGGGTGTTGGAAGGTAATATGTGCCTTATATACTAAGTTAGGCCTGATTACGTGGGTAATTTTCTTATGAGTGTCTTTCTGGTTTGAAGGTGCATGACGACCCTGTGAATGCACCAGTTGATGGTCCAACACAGTGGGTGAGTTTTGCTTAAATTGGTTTGAGCTGTATTTGTAATATGAGATCTTTTAAGAGTCTATTTGCTGAAACTTTCAATTATTTTTTGATTAGCCTTTGCGTCATTTGGAGGAATTGCTGGCAGAGCTTGTGGCAATCGCAGTAAGTTCATTAAACATTACTGAATCTTTTTGCTAAGACATTTCTGGTGATTGCCTTGCCTTAGATTGAACTTAACCCGCATTCCGTTGCTATCAGATATTTTTCAAACTTAAGAAGCACAAATACGGACACGAAACATGGATATGACAATATGGACATAGTGACACATCATTTTCTAAAGTTTGGGACACAGATACGACAAGGACACATTTATTAAAATATAAAATTTTTTAATTGTATATATCATTTTTATACGAGAGGGAAATCTAAAGTCAATAAGTTTATGCATTTTTATGTTTAAAAAAGAGTTTGATGTATTTTGCTCTCAAAATTTATTTGTCCTATATTACTATTACGTCTATTTCTTAAGCTTAACAAGTGTTCGATACATGCCTAATAAGTGTAAGATTAACATTCGCTTTGTTCAACTAGTGGTGACACATATCTATTGAGCTAACAAGTATTTGATACGTTTCTAATAATTATTTGAGTGTTTTGACATGTACACGTTACCCCAACTGAAGTAGAGAATCGGATCTATACTGATTTTCTCATACATGTTTATTGATTTATATATAATAAAGTATCAAAATTTTACCATAATTGTTTTTCCTTCCTCAGCGGGCGAGCAAGGGTAAACAACGTTTCAATATTGACATGACACCATTTCATGATTAGAAGCGTGAGGCATCGTGGAATTCGAATTTCAAATTGAGGTAAGAGAGCTATCATTTCAATACCCGAGATTTTGCATTAGTTTGAATTTGATCCATCTTCACACGAATATATATTGCTTTACTTTTTCTCTTGCACCAACCATGAACTATTTCTCCAATAATGTGTGAGACGGGATCTCATGAAGAGGTTGGACTCCATTGAAAGTCAGTTAATGTGGTATTTTGTTTCTCAAAATCATGTTTCTTTACCATTACTTTTATTTGTAGTCTACTTTTTAACTCTTAGCCTATTACAAAATGTTTTCAAAAACCAACTTTTAGAAAGTGAAAGAAAAACTAACAAATATTTTAGTAGGTTAAAGAATACTTTTTGATCCCCATACTTTAATTAGGGGTGTAACTAGGTCGGGTTGGTTTGATGTTGTTCTTTCCCCTATATCAATCCTCTTCTTCTAGGGTTTCAATTTTGGATTTGAATTACGCTAAAAAACAAGCAAAAAACTAGATAAAGCGTAAGCAGAAGAATAATTTCTCTGGGTTGGGTGTTTTTCTAAAGGGAAATTGGAAGAAATAGGCGACTGTGAAGTGGGAAATTGCAAAGATTTATGAATATTTGGACTGGGAAAGCAATTGCGATTATGAATTCTCATATCAAAGTCCAACTAGGAAGCGATTGCGAAGTAGGAAGTAGTCGCTGCGGTCGGGTTCAGGCTTTGGAAAAAAGTTAAAAAATAAGGGATTTTGAGTTCTGCCATTAGGGTGTCGTTGCTGCTGCCTGCTGCTGCTCGATCGCTCGCTGCCTTAATAATTATTCTTAACTGCATCGCTCTTTATTCTCCTCTTAACCATTTTCCTTTCTATCAGAAACTCTCTCACAATTGAATTGGCCATTCAAACCCACCGAGAGAACCCCCCACAAAAAACTCCCGCACTGATTTTCCTACTCCCCTCTTCGCCGCGCCATGCCGACTTCTGCTTAATAATTATTCTCCCATTTGACCTCTCTGTGGCCATCACAATCATGGACTCCCTTGGCTCCCTCTAGGGCGAGTGCGGGTTCCACAATGAGCTCTCAATTGTCGCCATCCTTTGTAACCTTATCATCGTTTCCCTCCTTGGCCACTACTCTGACTGGCACCACTACTATTTGAGAGAGAGAGAGGGGCATGGGGAGGGAGAAGGAGAACTGGTGAGGGAGGAGAGAAGAATGCACAAAACTAGGAAAATAAAGTAAAACCCTCGGTTTGTTGGGATAGAATCCAACCAACCTGACCATTGTCAGATTCAACCCAACTTGAACCGGTTTTAGTCGGGTTGGTTCCTTACACTTAAACTTTCATAGAAGTAACGATTTAGTCTTTGAATTTTAGTTTGTAATAATTTAGTTTTTGTATCTTTAAATTGGTAACAATTTAGTTGCTGCCGTGTAAAATTTGTAACGATTTAGTCCCTACTATGAATAATCTCATCAAAACTAAGTGCCCGTTCATTATTTAGTCTTTGTAGTCTATAGACATATTTAGTCCTTCATGAGCTTATCAATCTCCGTGTATGAGAAACCCTATTACACGTAGGCGGAAGATAAAAAGCCTTGTGTTGTTGGAGACTTACCCTATTCACATGCCCAAATCGATTACATCAACCACCCTATGACACCTCGTTGCTTCGCACCATTGTGCCTCCTATTAGCATGCACAAGTAGGACGCACATGACCATTTCGGAGCGTTTGTTACGATCCGAATCTGCACATGACATGGTAGGAGGGCCAAGGTCGAGTGGGCCAAGTGGCACATTCATGGCTGATGCAAGATGAGGTGGCAGCATAGTGCGTGAATGTGTAGGCAGAAGGCGTCGCA